GGCACCCATTTCCAGAGTACCTCCCGCCGCCGCCGTCGTACCGCGGAGACGCCGAGGGGGGTATATATCAGATCCACGGCCCCATACCCGTTGTGCCCTACCGCGACCCGGCCTACGAGATCTCCGCGAACTTGGCTCAAAGAGTACCCAGAACGTACATACATGAATATCTGCAGCCAATTATTTTAGCGCAGGTGAGACATTTATGAGCATTATGCATTACTTATCGAAACTTAAGTTGAACTATCATTGCCTCGAAGTAATTTCAAAGTTTTTATTCTATTTCTATTTAGCATGCAATTCAAACAAAAGTAATTAGCATGTGTGTTCTTCTAGACTAGCATTAATAATATTAATAGGATTTACAAAACTTTGGAAACTTGTATAGGCTTTCGGATTCAAAAATATATATGCACTTATCCGTCAATAATATGTATTCATGGTCGGAAGTATACGGACAAACATGTAAAAGTTTCTGTAGCTTTGTAAAGGTGTAACTACAAATGTATTAAACAAACACTTTTGTTCGTGTGTAATTTCAGAATGCGATGTTAGTGGAGGAGGAGCCGAATGTTGTGAACGGCGGCGGCGCGGGCGCGGGCGGAGGCGGTGGCGGTGGCGGGGAGGCGGGCGTGCGGCTGGTAGGCGCTCGGCGCATGGGCGGCATGGGGGGCATGGGTGGCATGGGTGGCATGGGCGGCATGGCGGGCCTGCTGGACGCCGGCATCATCTCCGAGACGATGCCGGCGCCCGCGCACCGCGTGCAGGCCTGGGACTTCACCTCCGGCGTCGCGCCAGACATCGCTGACAGTACGTACACTGCCCACATACATATTACCTGTTCTATTGATTTTTTTATATCATAGGGTGACAAACGAACAAGTGGCCACTTGAACCCGCCGAAATGGCGAAGTGACCGCTGCCCATAGACACTCGCAACAGCGGATGCGTCGCCTACCCTCAATTGATGGTGGGATGCGCACATAAACTGGACATTTCCCCTTCCTATGCGTCTCCTCCACCGTCAAATCCACATTCCCTAGCTATCCCTTTCCTATAAGGAAAAGGGTGGGAAGGAAAAGGGGCCAAGTTGGGCCTCTATCACCACACTCACCATACGAAACGCGGAATTGATCCCATTTCACGCCTGTCTTCTGTGTTGTGGTATTGCTGGGGGCGAGCCGAACACTTATGATATAACCGTTAATAACAAAATAAAGATAATTTTAAAAAATCATAGCGATGTTTTCTTATTCAAATTGCAATTATAAAAGAGAGATTTGTATTTTTGTATGTACCAGGTAATAAGAACGTGGTGGTGCGTCGATGCAGGATCCACAACGACGCCAGTATCGACATATCGAAGGACGGCCGCCTGCTTGTGGCGCTGCTGCCCGTGCCCAGGTTCAGAAACACCAATCACTTGCTCGGTAAGATCTAAAACAATTTACGACTTAACACTAGGTATAATCTTTTTTTAAAACAAAAGGTTAACATCCAATTCTTGGGGCAAAAAGTGGGAAGGAAAAGGGACGTAAGATGGGCAATCTATCTGATTTCAAATTTGTATTTAAGATAATTACATTTTTTAAACTTAAACGAATTATATACGGCAGTAGGATAAGGTAGGGGGAGATGATGATTTAGATCTGGTCAAAATTTCCTCCGAATAAAAGGTGGGTAGTGTGCTTGTTAGGAGCGTCTGTGGCTCAGTGGTTTAAGCACTTGACTTGTAATCTACAGGATTTGGGTTCGAATCCCGCCATCCAAATGTGATCTATCTGATTTTTTATATGTGTATGATTCACCCAATGCTACTACGGTGAAGGAAAACATCGTGGTGGTTCAAAGACTTGTGTGAAGTCAACCCACCCGCAGTGGGCCAGCGTGTTGACTATGCCCTAGTCACCCCTTATTAGGGTAAGCTCCGAGCCGGTGATGGTGACGGTGTTAGAGGCAGTGGTGTAGAAGTGTGTGGCGGTGTGCAGGCGTGTACTCGCTGGAGTGGTCGCGGCTGGGGCACTGCCTGCACACGGCGGTGCTGGAGCAGAGCCCGGTGTCGGTGGCGCTGTCGCCCACGTCGCGCCACCTCGCCGTGGGGCTGGGCTCGCGCCGCTTCACCACCACGCCGCACGCCAGGAACAACGTCTTCGCACAGCTCTACCGACTCGACCCACCAGGTGACTAACCTCCCTACATTATAAATTCTTGTCAATTTATTCTGTTTGTATTTGTAAATTCTCATTTCTAACTGGGAACTCGTGTAACTATACTAATATACCGAAAACAATCCCTTACAGTGGAGAAGAGTTAGATCCCAAATTAAAACCTTCATACCTTACTTTTTTATTTTATTATATAAGTATACACAACGCCTAATTTGATCACACAGCTATAAAGGAAAATCTAAAACAAGCATATATAAAACCGATAAATTAGCCAACCAGGTGTATTATAAGAAATACTACACGTTTCGAGATTATCATTTATTAAACCAATTATCACGAATCATCATCATCCACTTGCCCTTATCCCTTATGGAGGGTCGGCACAGTATGTGCTGCTCTCCCATACATCTCTATCAGCCGTCATATCTGAAACCACTCCTTTCTTAAGCATATCCTCTTTCACACAATCCATCCATACTTTCTTCGGTCTTCCTCTTCTTTTGTAGCCATCCACATTCATTCTTAACACTTTCTAGTTTATGTCAAAACCAATTATCACGAATTTCAAAGAAAAATATCAAATCAAAAATATCAAAGAGTTGTTTAGGCTTGTAAATAAAATTGTAACATTTAACATATTAAAGTGTTATCGTGTTAACTTTTCAGAAAACACGAGCAGGACTGGTCTGTCGCCGATCAAGGAGTTGGAGCAGAACTGGGAGCACGGCTTCACCAGCCTCAACTGCCTGCGCTGGGCGCCGCAGCCCGGGCAGGGCCTCGTCTACGCCAACAACACCGGCCAGCTCATCATCATGAGCTAAGTGCACCGCCAACCACACTTCACCACAATCTCTACACACATCTCCTTGTAACAATTGTAAAATACGTATAATTCATATTTAGACAATCATTTGGAACAAGACATGGTTATAAAGTCAACCCGCTGTAGCCAGTGTTGTGTCTATGGCCTAGGTCCTAACTTAAGCTCTCTTAGTAGAGGTGTACAGTGAGCTGGTGATGATGATACGGTTGAGAATGTTGACTCAGTATGCATTGAGGTGGAACTCAGCATATGTTCGCAGACATCCAGTTTCAAACTTCTTGATACATCGGACTAAGCCTAACTCATGGCTAGTAAGACTTACATTTAATTATACTCTGTATTTCTAAATTAACACTTATCTAATAATAACTGATTACTATAAACTTCTGAGTGTATTAGTCAGACTAGTTGAAACTAGATTCCCATTTTTAATATAATGTAGAAAATTCTTTCCGAATTGCCACTTTACAAATTACTTGTATGACTTGAATGCGAGAAGAGAGTAAAGAAAATAATGATGGCAATAATATGCATGGCTTGTGAATACAGATGGTAGATTTAGTATGGACAGAATGGAAAGTACTAGAATATGTTAAGGGCAACATATAAAAGTGTTGCCATATATGCAGGCATAAACATGCTATGACTAAATGACGATCATTTGGAAATTATTTATTCATCACATGAAAAAAGCCGTGCAATGAACGTTATTAGAGCCAAAAAATATCGATTGAGGTTGTATTTATGACAGATGAAATGTATGTATGGATTTTTGAATGTGGACAATGCAAGTGATGGTTTGAATGTTTATGTATTTGTTCTGGTATTTTATAATGTACAAAAAAATCGCGTAGTTTTTGAATAGTTCCGCGTCGATGTGCACTAAAATGACATTTTTGCAAACGTCTAAAATAATTAATCGATGTCACTAACGTGGACACGATGGATGAGTGTTTTAAAAAAATAACCTCAAAAAATGCCATATTGATTTTTGATTTATTTAAATCAAAGATCAGGAGTAAACTGGGAATTATTGCATATTGAATAGAATGTCAACTAGGTATATGAAGTAAGTGATACGGAGTTATGAATATCGATGTTGCAATTGTATCGATGTTTGTTTCACTGAAGCTTAATGTTGATTTATAATGTTAAACTTGAAATATTGTCTCTTAAATGCAATACTATAATTCAACATTTGACTATTGACGCATGTTGTCTCTGTTATTCCAAGGACAATATGAGAGATCACAATATGTGTTAATGCAGTCGAAACCCACATTTAGGTGTTAATATTATTTACTGGAGTACAGTGTTTTTCAATCCGTGGGTGAAGGTGAGATCGAGACCTTCAGGGATGGGACATGTAACTGAAACTATCGGTAACCCCTTTTCTGGTCGTCAGACCTCCTTCTAGTGATGTGCCCTCGAAAAAAATGACATGAAAAACACTGACTTACATCACTACATTTACATTAATAGAGTTTTAATGACTCTCAGTTGTGCCATTTAATATCTGAAGGCATTTTTATGTGTTCATAAAATCGATGTTACGATTATCATGAATCACAACATCGATATTTTATAATTACCGATAAAATATTTCGATTTGTAGTCGATGTTTCAAATTTGAATACTATTATGTGTATAGAAATAGATATAAAATAAGTCGATATCTTTCATTAAATTTATTTTTACATCTTGTTGATCTCTATCTAAAATTAGTAATTTATGAAATATTTCAATGTAAACAAAATTAAGATTTTTCGGTCTACTATTCACTTTTAATCTTGTACATTTTGATTATACGAATCCAAAAAGTTGGTAATATATTCAGCACTCATATAGATATAATACAGTAATGTGCATGGGCATATTTTTTTATTATTTCACGTGTTTTCATTTATTCTAGGTAATGCAATATTTAAAGTTCAATAAAAATCTTTTATACGCGTTAAAAAGTCAAATAGAATTAGATATCCAAGGTACTGAAAAAAAGTATTTAGCTTTTTTCTGGCCATTAGGTTTTTCTTGTAAAGTTTAAATTGCCCTCTTGCCTATCGGGTATTCGAAAACTTATGTAAATGTTAATGAAAAGGTTTCCATTAATTCTTCTTATCTAACTACATAAATGTTGACAACCTATTTATTACTTTTTATTATATATAGTGATAGAAAGAGTAATAATTGCCACTGCGTTTTCAACTTCATAAAATCACATATTGTTATCTAATAAGATAAGGCCGTTCAGACTGTTGGGTTGGGCGTTTCCCGTTGAACTTTACCGATCAGTCCAACGGGAAACATCCGCGTTTACTTGTTATTAAAGCAATATAATATGATTTTTAATTACCTTGGATAGTAGTGATTTGGAATTAGGCTTGTAATTTTTATTTATGTATCCCTTTTTGAATTACAATCAACAATTTATTTCGAATTACAGTCATGAATCTCAGCATTGTATAAAATTAAAAGATTTTTTCTTACAATTTGTTAACAAAATAAATCGCTTATTTTAAAATAATTTGTATTTACTGTTTAATTAATTCAGTTCTTCCACATTATTTTTAGGGACTTAAACAAAATACGTTTCACATTGCAAGCAAAGGAAAAACACATAGTGATATTTTGTTCCTTTTCATTGTATTAAGAGGATTATTGTCGCCATGAATTTTTACTGTTTATTTTAATCTTTAAAGGAATTATTTACTACTTCCTTACTCCTACTAAATAATGGATACATATTTTGTTAAAACCTTCTGAAGAGGGATATATCAAATATTACAACTATAAAAAAAAAATATTGTTCAAATTCAGAAACAAATGGGCTAGAACTATCCTGGCAAATGTTAAGAAATATATAATAAGAAAATCGACTTATTCGAAGATACATTTTTATTTACATTTAAACGCATGTTTATATGAAAGATGTACAGCAGGACTTATCCTAATAAAAACATGATGTTCTTTAGAATCTATGTTAAATGAATAGATATTAGAGTTAACGTTTTGTCATCAGAATAATAAATTGTAAAAAAAAAGTAACGAGGTCGTCATCAACTTTATACTTTTTGACCGATATCCCAAAAGAAAGAGGTACTTAATTCGTCTGTATGTTTTGGTTTTTTTTTTATGTGTTACGGCATAACTCCCCCGCTAGTGGACTGATATTGATAATTCTTTTTTTATCCGAAAGGTAATGCTTGCAGATAGGCCCCTTTTTTGTTTGATTTTTACATAATATGGTCTAAACAAGAATATTAAAATCAAGGATAGGTGGCGCTTTAGTCGCCTCCTTAATTACATCACTTTCTTACGGAAAGGGTTTACTTGTTATGTTCCCGTAATGTCGTGGGTTTTAAATTTATGGTAAAGCTATACATATTTTAAAGGTTTTCGAAATTTACCCAAGTCCTAAAGAATATTATTTACAAAGAACAAGTCTGTTCCATTGCGAGGTCTTTATATAGAATTCTATTTATCATTATTATTGACGTTGGCGTATTTTTTTCGCTCCATACACAATTCTACTTTCTCCTGACTCCATCTGGTATTATAAAACTACACCAGCTGTTATAATCCAGCATTATAAAGAACACAGCCCTAAAGTCTGCTAAGTAATCTTTATGATGGCGGCCATTATATTATGGCATTGTAAATGTTAGATATATCGCTTGATATATGCATATTTGTGTAAAATTTAAGTCTTTCTTAGAATGTTACGTTCAGTCTCCACTGAATCTTTATTATTGCCATCGCCTTCACTCTCTCTGAGAAAAACAGAGACAAGAAGTGTTACGCCAGTTCAATTCCACGCTGTTATTTAGTATTATACTAGATAATTGATATCTTTAATCGGTCTCATAAAATTAGATTTATTGGTATTTTACTTAGGCTAGGTAAATTTTAAAAGTATTAAATTCGTTATATATTAGGCTAATATGGCCATGTTTTGCCTAATTTTCAAAATTATTGCAGTAATTTGACTTGACTGTTTTCATAGTATGTAAAAATTATGTATATTGTTTATCATTTATACAAAACTATGCTATTTGTCGATTTTTAAAATAAATTTTAGTAAGTTAAATAAATAGATAAATTATATAGCCTTTATAACGTTTTTAAAGTAGGTTCAATAATATTTGGTTTCGTAATTACAAGATAGTCGGAGGTAAGCCAATAAAGCTACCAGACTTCTCTTGAAAATCTGTGTTTTTTATAGTCAATGTAGCAAAAAGTACTCTGATTTGGAGTCGCTTCAATCGGCATCTTTCACATTAGAAGTGTCCTAAGAAATTAGTTCCATATTTGTCCGCAATATGGCGAGGGTTTTTATATCTGGTCAAACTATACTTCATGTTGAATTTAGTGACATAGCATTCAGCAACTGGCAGGTGTTAAAAGTATATTTATAAAATTGACGAACATAATAATTTCTTTATGTTTATGTAAACTGCTCGATACACAAATAATAAACGTATCCACATAAAAATACTTAGGTACTTTTTTATTATATGACGAAGAACTTTGTTCTTTTCGAATTTAAAGTGAAAATATTTCAAATTGCTACAAAATCTTTAATGCAAATGTTCCTTTTTTATTTCACATTTATAAGAAGCCATTTTTTTATTATTATAAAAGGTAATTAAGGTTTTTATTTAAAATGTAAATATTTATCCCTCTTCGGATAGTTTGTGATAACCATTTATTTTGAAAATGTACAGATATTGAATAAGAAAAAATGTACAGTGAATGTTACGCTTGTGTCTAATAAAATTTAATAATTGCAGATATTGTTTTATTTGTTTTCCTATACTTTTATTCCCCACATTTCTAATTCATTTATTTCAAATTTCTTATAAATTTTAATTATTGAAAATTGAATATGAAAAAATCTTCAAGGTCAATAAAGTGATAAAATAAAAGAAACATGTATAAATATCTTAGTTTATTCAGTTTTCATAGAATGTGATCGCATAAATGAGGCTGAGTGAAATAAAAAAAATCCTTTAAAGACAAAATATAAAACTATAAACATTAAAATAATTGATACTATAATTTAGACTAACTGATAAATTAACTTATAAAAAGAATTGGACAATTTTATATAAAATGTTTACAAACATCAGAGTACTCAATTACCTGTTTACTAATCATGTGAAAAATATATGCCAACAATATTTTTACTCAGTAAACAACCAATATTGACAATATTGCAATATATAAAATATAGCTATTTTTTAACATTTTATTACCTACATCAGCATTTAACATACATACAAAAAAAACTAAATGTCACACAAGTACCTCAGAAATAGTATTTTAGTATTGAATATACTGTATTTAATATTAAATAAAAAAACGTAAATAATATGGTTGCAAGTAATTGTGATATAGTAATTATTATTTGTAACGTGACTTCAGGGGTGTCACTAACGTCATAAAAACTAAAAAAAAACGGTTTTAACAACTTACAAAAGACATAAGATGAAACCATTAAAATAATGCTAATCCCTACAAATCTTTTATTAAAAAATGTTAATTTGCTCGTAGCACAAATATACTTTCCCTGACTCATCACAGACCAAGTGTAAAATCCATCAGAATTGCAAAGTTTATTTGTGAGCCGT